GTGGCAACGGTGGCGGCGATGGTGACGGTGACCGCGACGGTGACGGTAACGGTAGAAGTCCCGTGGAGTCCTTAACAAACCCTTGAGAGTCCTTTCTTCACTAAAAGAAATAAAAAAACCCGTCTTCCTAACAACGTATTCCTTAACAAACGCTCTCTTCTCCCCCCCCCCCCCGCAGGGCCTTGGAAGAGCCCCGAAGGATGGATGTGGGTCCTATTCTTCCAAATTCCTTGCTGTTGGAAGGCATCTCGTCTCGGTTGTCAGTTTTCAGTTGGATAAAAGGCATGGCACAGTTTATATGTGTGTGTGTGTGTGTGTGTGTGTGTGTGTGTGTGTGTGTGTGTGTGTGTGTGTGTGTGAGTGTGTGTGTGTGCGTGCGTGTGCGTGTGCGTGTGTGTGTGTGTGTGTGTGTGTGTGTGTGTGTGTGTGTGTGTGTGTGTGTGTGTGTGTAAATAATGTCCCCGAGCCAGTTTTCAAGGACTCGTGATCCCTTTGAAGCGGTTTAGTTATATAAAAAAAATATCTGAACAAGTAAGGACCAAGGAAAGATTCCTTTAGTCCCCCTCTCAAGACACATCCTCAACGCCGTTTTCTTTACTTGTTCCAATGTACCTCTCTTGCATTATTCAATCAACCGTCATCCCTCTTCTTCTGTCTCCAACGTCTCTCTCTCTCCCTTTCTCTCTCTCTCTCTCTCTCTCTCTCTCTCTCTCTCTCTCTCTCTCTCTCTCTCTTTCTCTCTTGCTGTCTCTTTCCCTTCCTCCCTCTCTCATCTTCCCTCTCTCCCTCCCTTCTTTCCTCCCTCTCTTCTACCCTCCTTCCCTTCCTCTCACTCTTTCTTTCTCTCCCTCCTCCCTCCCTCTCCCCCTCCTCTTTCCCCTCCCTCCCTCTCCTCCTCCTCTTCCCTCCCTCACTCCCTCTCCTCTTCCCTCCCTTTCTTCCTCCTCTTCCCTCCTTCTCCTCCTCCTCTTTCCTCTCCCTTGAAAAGATATCGTTTTTTTTAAATGTCCAGCACGTATTTCCACCGTTTTTTTTCCTTCCTTTAAATCTGGATATTCTTTTTTATCACCTTCCGCTGACATCACAGTGACGTCATCAAATGTGCGCGATAAAGACTTTAGTAGAGGTCGGAGTGGGTGTGGGCGGTGGCTTGGTGTGGGCGAGGGTGTGGGCGTTGGCTTTGTGTGGGCACTGGCTTGGTGTGGGCGGTGGCTTGGTGTGGGCGTGGGTGTGGGCGGTGGCTTGGTGTGGGCGTGGGTGTGGGCGGTGGCTGGGTGTGGGTATATGGGTGAAGTAATGAAGAAGACGAAGAAGATGAAGAAGAAAATTAAGAAGCAGATGATCATCATTAATAATATCATTAGTATAATAATAATGATAGCGATAATCATAACAATAACAAAATCTATCATAATAATAATATTACTACTACTAATAATAACAACAACTAATAACAATAGCAAAAGCAGTAATAATACTAATATCAATAATAATAATAACAATGACAATAATAAAATTAACAATTAAAATAATAATAATAATAATAATAATAATAATAATAACAATAATAATTATCATTATCATTTTCATAAAAAAAAAAAAAAATAATAATAATAATAATAATGATAACAAAACATAAGGAGTAATAACAACACCAATAATAACAAAAATAAATAGAAGGAAGAAAAAAAATAGAAGAAGAAAGAAAAAGAAGACGACGACGAAGAAAGAAGAATAAGGAGGAGAAGAAGAGAAAGGAGGATGAAGATGGAGGTGGGGGGGGGGGGACTTGCAGTGGATCGAGAGTCCTTCGTCGACACAGCGGTTGCTACGAAGGACACGCCCCTCTCGATCTCTATGCCCCTCCCCCTTCCTAGCCACCCACACGCCCCCGCACCCCCGCCTCGCCCCGCCCCCTCCCCTCAACCCACAATCCCCCTCCCCTCCTCAACCCACGCGCCCCTCCCCTTCCTAGCCACCCACACCCCACCCCCTCCCCACAACCTACGCCCCTCCCCCTCCTCTCAACCCCGCCCCCCTCCCCTCCCCCTCCCCTCAACCCACGCCCCTCCCCTCCTCTCAACCCACGCACCACCCCCCTTCCTAGCCACCCACACCCCACCCCCTCCCCTCAACCTACGCCCCTCCCCCTCCTCTCAACCCCCGCCCCCCCTCCCTCCCTCCCCTCTCCCCTCCCCTCCCCTCAACCCCCCCGCTCTCCATGTGCATTCGCCTTCTTGTCACCCCAATCTGGCACGCTCCGGGGACGTTTAACCTCTCACAATTCGACAGGTAATTAAGCTCTCGTCCTCTCAGCCTACACACGCGACCACGAGGAACTCCATGAAACGGGGAAGAACTCACCCTAGAGTATCGTTCATTCCTTCGTTTTATAAGATTCGTCTGAAGATCAGCCGTTGGTTCGATCTTCGGTCTTTCACAGAGTAGTTCGTTCTCTCTGATGCCTATCCAGATACGCTCCTTCTAAAATATTGATATTCATATATATATATATATATATATATATATATATATATATATATATATATATATATATATACACATATATATATCTCCCTTACATATAAACAGAAACACCCCTTCTACATACGCATATAAACCACCCCACCCACCCACCCCTATTCATCTCTTATCCACTTACACGAGTTTATCCACAATCCACAGCTAAGCCCCCCCCCACCCACCAACCCAATGAAACCGAAGCCTGTGAGAGCGTTATCGCAAAATTCCAAAGTTCATGACATATTATCACTTACGTCGTGGAACAATGGGATATTTTTTTTTTTCGTGTGTCTGTTTTCGTAAGCTGGTTGTGAGTTTACATTCGTGTGAGTGGATTTCCGTTTCATTAGGATATTTTTCTTTCTTTATCTGTCTATATATCTATCAATCTATCTCTATTTTTATCCCTTTCGCTTTCTCATCGGCATGGCACTGTATTTTTCACTCAATGGAACAAATAACAACATTAATAATACTACGGCAACTACTAATAACTCCCATTACATAACTTAGGGCAATCGTATCAATATAGCGTTCGTTAGTCACTTGTTTTCTTCGTAGAAAACGTCTAGTAGGTTGATGGGGGAACGTCTTATGGCAACACCGTGGGCTTGTGTACTGAGTTTTCTTTCTTTATGTTTTATCGCAAAAAAATATTACGCTTTTATTGGCGACTGATCGATGTTCTTACTCTTTTTTATGAATTGTTATTAAGGAGTGAAAGAATGCGAGACAGATATTCATGAAGAAATTAGCGTGGGTGCGTTTATATTTCTCCCTTTCCTTTGTCCGCTAAAATGTAAGAAAAAAATAAATAATAATACAGAGAAAATTATCGAATTTCGCTAATATTTCTTTTGGTATCCTTAGCGAGAAGTATTTGGCGACGAACTCTAACACCGACTGATCATATCGACACGTAGACACCGCGTTGACTCTGATTTGTGTCGAAAAAAAGTTTATAAAATATGCATTCATAAAACACGTATAGAACGACAGCATTTTTGTAGACACCTGCATGCTTGACGAGTTCATACTAATTTACGTAGTATATAGGCCTACGTATTGCTACTTCGAGACCGTACACATGAACGTACTTTGCATATACACAGCCTGACAGTATTTACAGAACTCGTCCGTATGCGTGAGTTGCAGTCACGGCTGGCGAGCACGTGATAAGGGCGAAGACGTGGCTCCCAAACTATTGATTTTCGGACGCAACGCCAACGGGGGAACTTGAGAGATAATGATACTATTGCTTGATAAAACGAAAAGGCAACGTGACAAGTGGGGGTGGTGAGGGTGATGAGGGATATGATGACGATGGTGATTATGATGAGGAATATGATAATGATGATGATGATAACGATGGTGATGGTGATGATGATGATGATGATGATGATGGTGATGGTGATGATGACGATGATGATGATGATGATGATGATGATGATGATGATGATGATGATGATGATGATGACGATGATGATGATAATGATAATCATAGTGATAATGATGATGATGATGGTACTGGTAGTGGCAGAGATGGAAAGAAGAGGAGAGAGAGGAATAGAAAGACAAGAATAAAGATTTTAAAAAATAACAGGAATACGAAGAAACGACAAAGAAAAGGTCGAGACGCCTCCATGTTGCAAAGCCTCTGGCAACATACGCGAGCAAGGGAGACCTTCTTAACAAGACGTCAGGACCTAACACGCCCGAGGTCCTTAATCCCTACGCCTCCCCTTGCTGCTCAGGGGCGCGAGGGAAGGAGTCCTGAAGTGGGCGTGGTGAGAACGAGGTGCAAATCACCGCAATGCAACGGCAGCCTGGTCAATGGCAGACTCACTCACGCTTCCCGCACGCCATGCCTTCGGGCTGGGGAGGGATTCATGATTCGGGATTTCTCTCTGTCTGGCCGTCTGTCTGTCTCTTAATTTGAATATCTGTCTGTCTTTCATGAGTCGGGATTTCTCTCTGTCTGGCCGTCTGTCTGTCTCTTAATTTGAATATCTGTCTCTTTCATGAGTCGGGATTTCTCTCTGTCTGGCCGTCTGTCTGTCTGTTTATTTGAATATCTGTCTTTCACTTTCGGTTTTACTTTGTCTGTCTGTTTTTTTCTGTTTCTGTTAATGTTTCTCTCTCTCTTTTTCTCTCTCTCCCTCTCTCTCTCTTCTACTTCCGCTCCCACCCCATACCCCCACTCCCTCTCTCCCTCTCCCACTCCCTACCCCCTCTCCCTCTCCCTCCCTTTCTTCCTCCCTCCCTCCCTCTCTTCCTCCTTCCCCCCCTTCCTCCGTCCCTCCCTCCCTCCATCTCCCTACCCCCTCTCCCTTTCCCTCCCTCTCTCCCTCCTTCCCTCCCTTCCTCCGTCCCTCCCTCTCCCTTTCCCTCCCCCTCCCTCTCTCCCTTTCCCTCCCTTCCTCCCTCCTTCTACCCCCCCAATATACCAAACATAAAACAGTTAAGCCCCAACTTACGCATTTCTCCAGCGCAGTCTCTCCTCCCTGACATTTGGTGAGTCACGGTATCACCCTAAAGCTCTTGGCGTCATCGTACCTGCAAAAAAAAAAAAAGATAATAATAAAGATAACAGATTTTTAAAAAAGAGACAGCATGTGATGATTTTACTTCGATTATTTATTTATTTCATGGTTTAATCTTATTTTATCTTTTTATTTATTCATTCGGTGTGGGTGAGGAGGTCCCCCTTTCGAGCGGAATTTCTGCGATCAAGAGATTCCATTTACCCCGCCTGGCGACTCCTGGAAACGAGCTTGAGAGCGAATTTCACCCTAATGCCCCTCTGCCATTAGGGGCTTTATCCTGCCTCACACGGCGCGAAAATGAGGAGGGAAGCAAGCGACACACTGGAATCGAATGTCACTCGCGAATACTTGCGATGCGCACGTGCATACACAAATAAGCAAGGGGACGGACGTATATACATACACGCAGACACACACACACACACACACACACACACACACACACACACATACACACACACACACACACACATATATATATATATGTATATATATATATATATATATATATATATATATATATATATATATATATATATATATATATATATACATACACACACACACACACACACACACACACACACACACACACACACACACACACACACACACATATATATATATATATATACATACATACATACATACATACATACATATATATATATATATATATATATATATATATATATATATATATATATATATATACATACATATATACATACATACTCACCCTCCCAAACAGAATTTGGAAACAGATACATACACACACCTGATACACAGAAGTAAACACACATATTATAGACATGAACACATATCTCTGTGTGAAAATAAAATTCAAAATACAACGATCATTAAGCTCGATCGCAATGGCGGATTCTCGCGGAAAATTCATTTTTGTTTTTATTATCAAAAATTGCCTGTGATGATCAATGACACTTAATTCCATCATGGCAGCAATCGTTCTCGCTCTCTCTCTCTCTCTCTCTCTCTCTCTCCCCCCCCCTCTCTCTCTCTCTCTCTCTCTGTCTCTCTCTCTCTCTCTCTCTCTCTCTCTCTCTCTCTCTCTCTCTCTCTCTCTCTCTCCCCCCCCCTCTCTCTCTCTCTCTCTGTCTCTCTCTCTCTCTCTGTCTCTCTCTCTCTCTCTCTCTCTCTCTCTCTCTCTCTCTCTCTCTCTCTCTCTGTATGTATGTGCGCGCGCGTATACGTGTGCATGTGTGCGTGCGTGCGTGTGCTTGTGTGCGTTCAAGCGCATTCCTTTCATCTGCCTGTCTCTCTCCGCTCCTCATCCGGCCGCCCTCCCTTTCCCGGACGCCCGTTTAACAATGTATCTCTGAATCTCTCTTCCCCGCTGCCTGCCTCTCTCACTCACACTCACTCTCACTCTCACCCTCTCGTTCCCTCGCCTCTCATCCTCCGTTCCTCTCCGACTCCTCTTTTCATCCTCCTCAAAGCAAAGCCCTCTGGAGAACGGAGAGAATCGGACCCTCGTTTTCTTTTTGTTGTTGTTTTTTTTAAAGGGGGAACTTTGCTTTTTCTGCAATTTCCTGGATCACCTCAAGAAGACCGCGCTCAGCCTTAGCACTTCGAGTGACTTTTTTTTCGAGTCTGTGCTACTTTCTGTTGGCTTTGCTGGTTTCTGATTTGAGTCTTTGTTTTCCTTTTAAATATCGTTAACACGTAAACAAAAACAAAAACATTATTTCCAAATAGTTTATTGTTTTTTTAGAGAGAGAGGATGGGTGGATATTCACACAAAAAGAAGGAAAAATTGTCTCTCTTTTCTGGGAAATACACCATTCCTGGAAGCATTTGCTCGCTTGGTTTTCATAAATGTTCGTTCACTGTTTCCTAATAAATGACTCAGCTTATGAGCCTGTTCCGTTTTCATATCTATGTCCTGAAAATAATACATAAATTTAGTGCTTATTAATTCTCAATCAGCTGCGTGGGAAAACAGAATTTGTTTTCTAGAGAGAGAGAAGAGAGAGAGAGAGAGAGAGAGAGAGAGAGAAGAGAGAGAGAGAGAGAGAGAGAGAGAGAGAGAGAGAGAGAGAGAGAGAGAGAGAGAGAGAGAGAGAGAGAGAGAGAGAGAGAGAGAGAGTGAGACAGAGAGAGAGAGAGAGAGAGACAGAGAGAGAGAGAGAGTGAGACACAGAGAGAGAGAGAGTGAGACACAGAGAGAGAGAGAGAGTGAGACACAGAGAGAGAGAGAGAGAGAGAGAGATAGAGAGAGAGACAGAGAGAGAAAGACGGAGGGAGACAGAGAGAGAGAGAGAGAGAGAGAGAGAGAGAGAGAGAGAGAGAGAGAGAGAGAGAGAGAGAGAGAGAGAGAGAGAGAGAGAGAGAGAGAGAGAGAGAGAATGAAATCAGAGAGAGGGGGGGAGGAGATCACGTAAAACTGGGGCATATATAATTAGGCTTTAAAATCCGGCATACTAATTTCATGCACTCTGCATAGACCTGTATGCAACGGCCATTGTGGAAACTCAGAGCAAGCATATAATTCTATCTAATTTGGACACAACTTTCTGTTTTTCGTTATGCTTACTACGTACAGTTATTTATCTCTTTATTTCTCTCTTTAGCATTATTCCACTTTCCTCTTTCTTCGCTATTTCTTTCTTCTTATCCATTTCTTTCTTCCATTTCTTTCTCTTGCTCTCTAAACTTTATCTTTTTCGTTACTGTTCTTCGTCTTTCTTTGACTTTCACTCCGGTCATCTATTGCTCTCTCTCTTATTATTCCATTCTACCTCCTCTCTGTCTCTCGTTTATCATTCCTCTCTGCTTCTAACCCCTCGTTTGCGATTTTTACGTCATCCCACTCTGCCTCCTCTCTGCCTCTGGCCTACTGATTGAGGGAATTTCGCCCTTTAGTCGGCCCTCTTAAAGGCGAGATTGCCTTCCCCTCCCTCCGCTCTTCCCCCCAGCTGTCACCGCCCTCCGCAACGACGCTATTACAAGCAAGAAACAAGGCTATGATCAATTCAAGATTTTCGCCACTGATCGCTGCCAATGTTGCAGATGTTGCAGGAGCCGCATCGCTTATGCAAACGCAAGAGATTCGTCTTAGAGAGAAAAAAAAGAGGTACGCGAGCGACTTCTTTATAACTTTTTTTTTTTTTTTTTTTTTTTTTTTTAACAAATATGAAATATGGAATAAAAACAATGATAATTCTAACGTTGTTGCTGTTCTTGTAATTGTAATTAATGGCATTAGTAATTATAATTATGATAATGACGAGGGTGATAAAAATATTAATGTAAATAATAGGTGTTATTAAAAGAAAACAAAAACAAAAAACAAAAAAAGACATACTGATCAGAATAACATAAAAACATCCTTTTTTTCCATCTTGACAAGAGGGAAGGGGAGGGAGAGAGGGAGGTGGGGGAGGAGGGGTAGAGGAGGGGAGGTGGGGGAGAGGGGAGAAGGGAGGGGGAGGGGAGGGGAGGAGAGGAGGAAGGGGGAGGGGAGGGGGAGGAGAGAGGAAATGGGGAGGAGAAGGGGAGGAAGGGAGGTGGAGGAGAAGAGGAAGAGGGGAGGAGAGAGGGAGGAAGGGAGGAGGAGGAGAAGGGGAGGGAGAGGGGGAGGAGAAGAGGAAGAGGGGAGGAGAGGGGGAGGAAGGGAGGTGAGGAGGGAGGGAGAGGGGGGGAGGAGAAGAGAAAAATGGGAAGAGAATAAGAGGGAAGTGGGGAGAAGGGAAGAGGGAGATGAAGGGGAAGAAAGGAGGAGGGGAAGGGAAGTTGATGAAGAAGGGAGGAGAGGAGAGGAAAAGAGGAAGGGGGGGAGGGGAGGAGGAGCAGCCATGCGAGGTTGCAACCATGAATATAATCAAAGACACTAAAATAGCAAGACATACCCCCCCCTTCCCTCCCTCAGCCTCCTTGGTCGGTCACCCCCTTGCATACTGACCATCTCTGGCGAAAGGGAGGAAGAAGAGAAGAGAGAGAGAGAGAGAGAGAGAGAGAGAGAGAGAGAGAGAGAGAGAGAGAGAGAGAAAGAGAGAGAGAGAGAGAGAGAGAGAGAGAGAGAGAAAGAGAGAGAGAGAGAAAATGTATGTGTATGTGTGTATATATGTATATATGTATATATGTATATGTGCATATATATGTAGGTATATATATGATATATATATATATATATATATATATATATATATATATATATATATATATATATCTTCCCTCCCTATATATATATATATATATATATATATATATATATATATATATATATATATATATATATATATATATATATATATATAAATATATATATATATATATATATATATATATATATATATAGGGAGGGAAGGAAGGAGGGAAGGAGAAAGGTATAGAGAGAAGGTAGAATGAGATAAATGAAAGTGAGTGAAGAAGTAGGGGAGAGGGGGAAAGGGAAAGGGAAAGGGAAGGAGAGGGAAAGGAGGGAGGGAAAGGGAAGGCGAGGCAATTGAGAAGGTAGGGGAAGAGAGAAAGAGACGGAAGAAGTAGGGGGAGAAGGGAGAAGGATGAAGGAAGAAGGAAAGGGGGAAAGGGAGAAGGAAGAAGGGAAAGGAAGGAGGGAAAGGGAGAAGGAAGAAGAGAAGGGAAAAAGGAGAAGGAAAAGAGGGGGAAAGAGAGAGAGGGAAGGAGGGAGGGGGGAAAGAGGGAAGGAGAGAGGGAGGAAAGAGAGAGGGAACGAGAGAGGGGGGAAAGAAAGAGGGAAGGAGAGAGGGGGGAAAGAAAGAGAGAAGGGAGAGAGGGGAGAAAGAAAGAGAGAAGGAGAGAGAGGGGAAAGAGAGAGAGAAGGAGAGAGGGGGGGAAAGAAAGAGAGAAGGGGAGAGGGAGAAAGGGAGAGGGAAGGAGAGGGGGGCAAGAAATGGTCGGAATATTGTTTTATAACCCAACAGACACCAGCGTCGGTCTGAGGACAACTGCATTATTCACATGATCTTCACTCCCACTTGCCGAGAGGTGGGGGGGGGGGGGTAAGGGAAGGGTAAGGGAGGAGGA